TTCTTCTTCCATATTTCCCAAAGCTACTGACTTGCTAAAGTTTCCTAATCCTTAAAATTCATTTTTGTTATTTTAATTTCCCAGAAAAAATCATACAGATCAAAAAATTTCCAATGATTTCATGTAAGGCCATGAATCACTAATTTTCTTTCTTATTTCTTAATTAATTATTTCATTTTACAGTTTCCACTCCATCCCTCCCCCCCCCCCATCCACTTCTCTGTTTCTGTTTAGAAACAGGCAGATCTCCCTTGGGTATCAACAAAGCATGGGATCTCAAGACTAAGCACCTCCTCTTGTATTAAGTCTGGGCAAGGCAACCCAGTATGAGGAATCGGTTCCCAAGAGTCAGTCAAAGCTCCCATTGTTAGAAGTCACACAAGAAAACCAAGTGAGGATGTGAACTTGAGGGACCGGGTTGGGGAGTGAATGGAGGAAGGGAAGAGTACCGTGATCAGATTGGTGACTACCCCAGTTGTCATCAGAGAGCCTTCATCTAGTAACTGATGGGAACACATGCAGATCCACAGCCAAACATTAGGCCAATTAGGGAATCCTGCTGAAGAGAGAGAGGAAGAATTACAGGAGCCAGAGGGGCCAAGGACATCACAAGAAAACCCACAGAAACAACTAACCTGTATGATAGGAACTCATGGAGTCTGAACCAACAAGCAGGTAGCTTGCATGTGACCAGCCTAGGCCCTCTACATATGTGTGACAGTGGTGTAGATTAGTCTCATACTTTCTGAAGGGACCGAACATAAGGAAAAAAAAAAAAAAAGTAATGCTTTTCTGGGGCAAAGAAGAAAAGTTTCTTTGCATCCATTTTCAACAGATCACTGAGGAAGAAGCAGACAGGAGTTGAGTAATCTGCCATTGGGACACCATCACAGGCTGTAGATGTTCTGTTGTCTACCCATGTCTAGGTCCAGTCTTTGGAGCATTTGCCATTGCTGACACTTTGCTTTCTCTTCCTTTCAGGGTCATCTCCCCTGTGCTGCTATATATATTTTAGTACAAAAGTACTTCTGCCTTTCCTAGCGAATTTCCTTGTTCTTTAGCTGCTTGCATTACTTCAAGCTCTAGCTGAGGCATTTTGCTCGCCCTTGTAGCATCCATTGCCCATGATTCCAGGTGTATATTCGTCACTCTTCTTGGTGCCCTGCCAGTAATCCACACTCAGTTCCTTCCATCGCCTAGAATTTCTTTGTGGTTTCTAACTAAACCTATCTTAAAAACTAAAGACATCCTCATATTCTGAAGCCAGTGCTCTTCATTTCACTGGGTTGAGGGTCAAGCTTGACTCCCAAATCTTTGGTGAGAGTCACTGTATTTGGGGGGGGGGGTAGATATTAGAATGAACAGTTGTTTTTCAGAAGTACTTTGACCTTGTAAAACCCTTGTGGAAAATAGTGATAGTTTTCTGTGATTTGTAGAATTGTTCTACTGAAGGGGCTTTGCTGACGTCCCATGACTCTGGTCACAAGATGCCTTGAGCACACCTGAGGCTCTTGTGTTATTGTGCATTGCAAACAATGCTTAACAAAGGACTAAAGTCACGAGGGCGTGTGATTCTTAACAGCCACATTAGGGGTTGGTTGAAGACTCTGTTAGAGTAAAATTTTTTAGGTTGGGACTCAGGGTCACTGCTTGTAAAACTCCCCCATGTCAATTCAAAGGACAGCTAAGGTTAAGCCATGACCTGAATATGGCCTCCATGAATTGTAGGTCCAGCCCCTGAATTTATTCAGGCATGATTGTAGAGGGTAGCAGAGGCCCTCTCATCTACTCTGCTCAATGACTTATCACTGACTGCCCACTGAGACCTGGAAACATTATCATAGCATGCTGATGAAGCTCTCACCGGGGCTTGGACTATACTCTGCCTCCTCACCTACAGAAAGAGAGGCACCTAGGCTGAGTGGCCCTCAATAGCCTTTCCATTTTCAAGGTATATATGTTTGTAAGAGTGTTGCTTCCAAGTGGAGTGATAACTGCAATGGGAAAAAGAGAAGATAAGAATCAAAGAGAGCAGCCAGGCAGTGGTGGTGCCTGTCTTTAATCCCGGCACTCGGGAGGCAGAGGCAGGAGGATCTCTGTGAGTTCAAGACCAGCCTGGTGTACAAAAGCTAGTTCCAGGACAGCTTCCAAAACCACAGAGAAACCCTGTCTCCAAAAACAAAAAAAGAATCAAAGAAAACCACCTGTGTCTCAATTACATTTGACCACTTCAAACACTTGGGAAGTGCAGGTTAGAGAGAAATACTGGGAAAGGAAGTTTGGGGCATTTCACATATGTGAAAAAAGCCTAGCTAGAAATAATTTCCTGACCTTATTCTAGGTCTGGGTTCAAGCATTCTACATGTCCACCGGAAAACATTTATTTCATTTAAAGTGTCAACTTGTGTCCTAATCGGATGCAGTGAGAAAGCGCTGTGAGTCATCTCCCCTGAGCTGCTCTGGATATGCCTCTGTCTGCGCCGGAATGAAGGACATGAACAGTGAACAACTGAGGGAAACTATGCTTGTTTGTATACTGTGGTCAATGCTGGTTACCAAGCAGCATTGTTAATTTGCTATTGTGGCCACTGGTAGGCAGTATGGAAGCCTAATAGCACAGGTTATTTGTGGTTTTGATAGGCTTGCTTCCCATTGACTCAAGCAGGGAAAAGGTTCACATGCTCTACCTATGCTTCATATTATACTATTTTTTGAGGTGGTAGCACACACCTTTAATCCAAGCACACAGAGGCGGTGGCAGTGAGTGAGTAAGTTCCAGGCCAGGGCTGCACAGGGAACCCCTGTCTCACAAAACAAACAAATGAAAAAAGTATCTTTTTGAAACAAAAATAAGTTCCTGAAGCATGACGGAATTGTAATAGCACAGAATTTATAATCCAACAAAGTAGTAACAAAATGGAGCCAAATGAAACATTTAAATTTTTTATAAAATTGTGAAAGAAATGTATACATAGTCATATGACACCTCAAACAGCTTTTCTTCATGGATTCATCTAACATATGGAAAGGTAAGAAGGACTATATACATCAGCCATGAAGAAAATCTGTCAATTTTTGTGACGGTTGGTATTGATAGCTTGACTGAAATGACCTAGAAAACACACTTTCTGGCTGTATCTACGGAAGTGTTTCTAGAAAGGATTAACTGAGGAGAGAAGACCCACCCTAAATGAGGACAACGCCATTCCATAAGTTGGGGGCTGGGATTGAATGAAAAGGGCAAAGGGGACTGAAACCAGCATTCAGTTCTCTGCCACAAAAAAAGTTGCCAGTACTCTCCCCCTTATCCCCGCAACAGCTGGCAGCACCATGGCAGACAGGGATCCCTTCCCCCGGAGTCTTTCTTCTAACTCCAGCTGTGTCTCATTCCTCCACCTTTGGATCTAAGGGATGGGAAGCTACCCTTTTAATCTGGCAAGAGCCTGTCGTGCTTACTGCTCATTCTGTGTACCTTCTTTTAGGAGCATGAATAACTAGGACACCTTCACACGCTCTGCTTTGGAAGCTGAGGCTGTAGCAGACTGAAAACCAGCATCTCCCAAACTCTCCCAGGAACATCTCTCTGTGATCAAGAAGTATGTGGGCAGGAATCCCATAGTTGCCATTTCTGAAATTACTAACACACTTTGGGGGAGAATTTTAAATAAAAGAAAGGCAATGCTCACCCTCCCTAACGTGTGCCTAACGTGTGTTTAGAGGCCAGACCACAAAGTTACAAGTGTTTTTTTTCAATCAGATTCTTGACTTCTGACATGGATTTGTAAATATATTAAAACTCTTTTGGTTGAGGGTAAACACAATTTAAAATTTACAATCTTTTAAGGCAACTCTGATCAGGAACTACACATTTAGAAGAAGTATCTCCTTTAACAACCAATTATAACAATTTGTCTCAGAAAGAAAGTTGAATGTTAAAAATATTTTAAAGGAAAATACAATCACCATCCAATTAAGGGCTGTATTTAAATAAGCACTATTTTGGGATGTTCTCCAAAACAACTACTTATAAAATGCTGTCATGATTTTGTGTACTATTCATTAAATGTACACTTGATTGAAAGAACAAAAATGCACTTTTTTTCCACAAAGTACTTCCTATAAGACTCGAATTATCTTCAAAGAATTTACAACTTTCTATATGCTTAGGAATATAAAAATACAGAGCCCTGTGTGTTCATGTACACCTGTAATCCCAGTGCTTGAGAAGGAGGAAGGAGGACCATGGGTTTGAATCTAGTCTCAGCTACATACTAGGGGGAGAAAATATGTATCCCAGGAAAGGAAAAAAACAAATGCTCACTTCCTGCTGATAGCCACAAGGCTCTGGTTTCACATTCAGAGCTTGAGAAAAACAAGTAGCACCTTTTGTTAGCCAGACATTTTAATCCTCACCCTTTTGTTTCTTCCCTTAGTCTTCACTATGAAGTTCTTAACTGTTCCAAAATTCAAAAACAATATCATAAATAGCAACTGCAAAGACAACAACAACAAAAATCCCAAACCTCTCTGCAATGGCTAAATTTAGCAGTTTGTCTGGAAAAGCCATCTGTAAAGAGTAACCGAAGCCTTCACACTTAGGCTGGAACACAGAGGGCAGTAATTACACATTCATGATTTCCGAAGCTCACAGCAACTTCTTCCTAAAAGGATGGTTTATCTCTCGGGTTTGCTGATTGCTAGGCAAATAGAGAAAATTGATTCTCTTCCCTCATATCTGCTCAAGGTTGTAAAGTTCTGGCTTCAAATTATATAAGCAACCCTCAGCTGAATCCACAAGGTGTCCCTATTGTTCTTAGACTCCAGGCTCATGATCCATAAGCCAGATGTTTCACAGCTCCCTGGTTAATCCTTAAGATGCAAAGCTGGTAGGGAAAGATTTGGGTCTGAGGGCAGGAACAAATTACCAGCCTGAAGTAACAGGCTGTGTAAAAAAAAGAAAAGAAAAAAAAAAAAAAAAAAAAAAAAAAAAAAAAAGACTACTGTCCTAGGTTGGACGCTTAACCATACTCTTCTGTTGTGTTTGTTGATTCTTCAATGGTTATTCCAACTTGCTTGAGCCTAGAGGTTCTTGTTCCCCTTTACCTCCAATTTACCCCAAGTTCTGCTGACTCTACAGTCTATATGCAGAAATGGTGCTTCCCTACTGTCTAGCCCAGGTGGTTTGATCTCACCCTGACCTTAATGTTGCTGATTTACTTTCTAATGGCTCACCAGAGCCATGAAATAAGCTTCATGCAAGCCTGTCAAGGTGCTCCCACCCTGCTCTTAACTTTGATGGAGCAATGCTGACAAGATGTGTTATGATCCAGCCTTTACCTTCCTCTCCATGGCCTTTCCAATTAGCCATAGGTCTATGTTTTGTTTGTGCAATGGTACCACTCAAACAACAGCTTCCCTCTCATTTACTAACATATGATCCAGTTCAAATCTCTTCTTAAAAAAGGATGTGTTCCCAGCCCCCTCCAGGCTATAGAGCATTCACCTGACTGTACAAGTCTAGGTAGCTAATTTATGTAGCTTAGTTACCTATTCCTTAAATAATCACATGCTCTTCTTTTCTTCTCTGGGCAAGATGAAGACCTATTTTAAGTAGATTTATTGCCTGAATTTTCCTTAGATAGGAAAAAAAAAGAAAAACCCAAAACAACAAAACCCCAACTGTACAAGGTATTCTTCTTGATTGATGATGTTATTTCTGTTCAGATAGCCAAGCTCAAAAAACTTCCAATTCTTAGGATTTCTTTGTAGTGAATTTTTGTGACTAAAGAAGAGTTTGCCAGTAACTAGAGGTAAGTGGGAGTGAGACCAGGGAATCACTATCTCATCAATATATTTTCATTGGGCTTTCTAAAACCAATCGGCTTTAAAAGACCCAATCTATCTAAAATAAATATCCAAAACACGAACGTATCTTAGGCCCTCTATGATAATAACATCCGGTTTGGTTTTTGCTTTTAAAAAACAAAGAAAAACCATTTCTACTCCCAAGCTACATAGAGAACTAATACACAAAACTCAATCTAGGTCATAAACCAGTAGAAACATCCTGCTCCCCTGTGGACCGGGTATAGACCGAGTTTATACGATCAAGATTGTCTTGCTGCAAGATTGGACAGTGCTTACAAAAGCGTTTGACAATGTGTTTTCTGAAGAACACTGAGAGATAATTCCGGAACTTCTCCCCAACAAAGGCATAGATGACAGGGTTGATGCAGCAGTGCGTCATTCCCAGAGTCTCTGTTACCTGCATGGCCTGATCTAATCTATTAGAACTACTGCAATTATTCAGTCCAAAGAATTCCTGGAAGGTGATCAGGAGAAGGACAATGTTGTATGGAGTCCAGAAGAGGAAGTAGACAATCATGATGGCAAAGATGAGCCTTACAGCCCTGTGCCTCTTCTTTTCGTTCCTACAGTGAAATAGGGTGTGGAGGATTCCCGAGTAGCAGATGACCATGACAAGCAGGGGCAGGACCAGGCTCAAGATGACCATCTTTAACGTTTGGAAACTCTTCCAGAAACGATATTGGGTGTGTGGAAAATGAGGACTACATGTATGATGAAAACCTTCTTTTTGAGACCTGGTAAAGATTATTTCTGGGACAGAGGCAAACGCAGCCACCGCCCAAGTGACTCCACTTGTCATCACCCCAAAGGTGACTGTCCTGGCTTTTAGAGCAAACACAGCATGGACAATAGCCAAGTATCTATCAATGGTCAGGAGGATAATGAAGAAGATTCCACCAAAATAGCCAATGTGATAGAGCCCTGTGAATAATTTACACATTACATCCCCGAAGACCCACTCGTTTGCAGCATAGTGAGCCCAGAGTGGGAGAGTGAGCAGGAAGAGCAGGTCAGAGATGGCCAGGTTGAACAGGTAGATGTCAGTCATGCTCTTCAGCTTTTTTAAGTTTATCAGGATGAGGAAGACCAACACATTACCCACAAAACCAAAGATGAACACCAGGGAGTAGAGTGGGGGCAGGAGCTGGGCTGCAATTTGTTTTACGTTGGTTTTTTGGCAGGGTTCTGACATGCCATAATCAATGTCATAGGGATAGATTGGACTTGACACTTGCAAATCCATCCTGCAAGAATCTATGAATAAAGAAAAGACAGTGCTTAATAAAGTTAAAAGCTGTTGTTGACCTACCACAATTACAAATGGTTTTACAACTTAACAGTTCTTTGAAGCATAGATTTCTACATTTACTTTTCCTTTCATTGTATGAGCTGAAATCCACGAAAGATGCATTTCATTAAATAAAATCTTTTTTTTTTCCATATCAATGTGGGATGAATCAATCTGTGTAACTGAGCCAGGCACTATGTAACTCACAGGCTAAATATCTTTATCGAAGACGCTGTTTCGAGGCACTTTACCCACAAATAGTAGGTGCCACACAAGTGCCAGTAAGAATGAACACTGAATTCTAATCACTGTTATAAGAGTCTTACCTACTCATTCATTAAATGCTTGAGGTAACTGTTTGAGGCATATAATATTGTTCACATATTTCTAGACAACAAGGCCCCAAGTTTGGAGAGAATGAGTAAGTTAACACAAAACCACACCACCCAGAAATAACTGATTTTGAGTTTGGGCATAATGAACACTTAACTGACATGTGTTGTCTGTCACTTCTTGGTAACTAATATACTTCATTAGTAACATATTTCCTTTGTGTGATTAGGACGAAATGGGCTGATGTCCAACTACTCCAACAGTGTCATAGAATCTACCACCAGTTATTAAAGTAGGCCATCTTCATCTTTTCTTGAAGTTATTTCTGCTTCCTAAGTTGTCGCTAACAAGAGGTCTCATATAAGAAATGGTCAAGTAGAAAAATGTTTCATTCATGGGTGAATATCTTACAGTCTAAATAGTTCTGTGTTCTGCCTATACATCCAATTGATTTGTCCTGTCTTAAGTTCTACTGTTTTGCTTGAAAATTTTTCCTATTTGATCCTTATATCTCTAAATCTCTTCATACCCCCACTTAGACAGTTGAGAGAAATGTCCAGAAAACCTCACCTTCAAGTGCCTACCCAGAACAAGACTCCTCTATAAGTGTGCTCTAGAAACTGATATTTGTATTTGATATGAATTTAGACAATTTTCAGGTTTCTTTCTTTTCTGGGAGACAGGTGGGAAAGGGGGGAGTAAGAGAGCACAAGAGACTTGGAGCCTCTGGTACACATGCTCCAGGTAACCCACAGAAAGGTTTTCACCTCTTCTCAGCTGAAGATAATACTTCTCAAATCAGTTTTCAGCCAATATCATTGGTGTAGAAGCTACTTTAAGAGGTAAAACTCTGCTTGTTTTTTTTTTTTTTTTTTTAAACCAACTATTGCTTCCTTTAAATATTTCATTCACAACCATGTTTTATATATTGGATGACATCACATGCTGAAACATATCCTAAATTCTTACCCTTTCTGTGTCTTAAAGATCACATTTCAGATCATTCAGTGAGCACCTGGTGCTGACAAACGTCCTCTCAGGATTTCCTGTTGAAGCTTTTACTGAGCTAACTAACCTGCCAAGGGCTGAGAGGTGACTTACCAGAGTTTCTCGTAGGGGAAACGGATGTCGCAGCTCCTCTGGCTATGAGTGTTGTACAAATCAAACATATAGACAGTACAAAGTAAGAAATGCAATTTCTTTCAAGAGGGGTGGAGTTTTTTGAGAAAGGGTATTACGTTGTGTTTCGGGGGGGGGGGGGAAGAGAGAGGGGTTGGATCAGTTCTTCTTTTTTTCTTTAAAGTTGCATTTAAAGCAGAAAATTGAATGCAGCTCTGGTCTGAAACTTTATTAAGCAGCTTCCCTCTCCACATGATTTTACTTATGTTCTCTGCTCAACCAACTCCACTCTACAGTCTATGAGAAATTAGAAAGAAGTAAAGGGTGTTAAAGCTAGGATACTTGTATTCATTACTCAAAACCACATTTGAATCAAGGGAGTCGATGTTTAAGAGACAAATAATGCACACAATACCTCAGTGTCTCGCTGGCAAAGCCTAAACATTTGTTCTTCTCATAGTTGTTCTTTGTTAAAGTAAAATCCAGCCAATTTTAAAAAAGAAAGGAGGTTCATGACAGAACAGAGAGCTTTGTTCCTTCCCCTCCTCCCCTACATTTACTGCTTAGTGTGACTCTTCTGTGTAAACTGAAACAACTGGCAAAAACTTTACACAAGTGTTCACCATACATTTTCCTGGGAACTAAACGTATTTCTCAGTTCTCCCTACATATGGCAACTGGTGAGACACATAATTATGTATTTTTAAGTAGACATCTGTAAGTACCTATGCTGTGCCAGATTTGAAGGTAGCAGAGTACCTCACTTCGAGAACATAATTTACCTGGAGCTGTGGGGGATTTTTCATGCAACAATGAACATTAATGAGTGAAAAAATTCACAACAATATGTGTTCATATCAGGTCTCCTGGGTGGTGGGTGGAATTTTTAAAAACATCAAGGGCTAGGAACGTAGCAAAGAGCTGCCAATGAGACACAGCTTCGGCTGTAGAAGCAGCAGCTTTGACTTATGACACACAGGAGGGCAAGGGAACTTCAAACAGCAAAATTACCTGTCCCTAAATCTACAAGAGGCCGCCTAGCACAAGGACCCAAGAAAACCTTCTGCACCAGACTGCCACACTTGATGCTCATCAACTGCCTCATGTGTATGTTAGGCTGAATAACAGCAATCACTTCATTGCTTGTTGTAACAGGCTGTTGTTGCCTTCAGTAACTCCATTTTGCTTTATTCCTATTCCTCATTCCGAAGATATGGTCTTCTCTCTGCTCTCCAGAGCTTTTTGTCTTGAAGGTGAGAATAGACCATCACCAGAATACTAACAACTCTGGCTAGCACAGGATAATCTAATTCAAGTTCCTGGGGATGTTGATTCTACACATAACCTTTAATCTTGCCCTCACATAAATATTTCCATTTCCTCCAAACATTTGGAAGGGAGGGAGTTGAGACATCACTTTTCTTCCTTCCAGGTGACTGGCCTCCTCAATAAAGCCTGATTCAATTTTTCCAATTATTGTCTCCTGGGAACTAATTTTCTATGAGGTAAGTGTTCAGACCTGAGTTTGGTAGCAGTAAGAGGCACTCAAAGCAAATATATAGAAAAACTATACATGATAATAGCAACCACCTCTTAGTTACTCAGTGGTTTGTTTGTTTTTCAAAATAAACACAATTTAAAGCCTACATTTCTTTATCATTCTATGAGGTAGACCTCTCCAGTGCTGCTAGACAAATTTTATAATTCTGTTTGTGAATACTATTGATTCTTATTGTTACCATGTAGATCTAGGGCTTAGCCTGTGCTGAGATAGTTTCACAGGGTAGTGGAAGATATAGAGCTACAGTTCACCCCCCAGAGGGCAGTGTGGAGAAGCTATGCAGGCTCAACAGTTACTCAGACAAGGCTGGCCTGGGCAAGCTACTTCACCTCTGAAATTGCATTGTCTGTCCTCTTAGTGATGTGCTAGAAGATGTGTGAAAGACTAAACGCTACAGAGGCCATTCAGTTAAAAAAGTGTGCCTTGGAACAGAAGCAGGGCCAAGGTCACAATATGCAACAAGAAGCCCAACTAAGCAAGGCATTACCCTCTCTTGAGTGCCTGGTCCAGAGATACGTTCCAGTCAGCTTCTGGGTAGACATTTCTTCAAGGATGCACAAGGAAATGAGGACCTGTGGACCCATGAAGAAGCCTTTACTTATAAGGAAGCTTTGTTCTGGGCATTACAATAGTACACTGTGCAGCAACTTGGACTTTGTCCATTCCAGTCTGCATTACTTTGTTCTCATATATGTTGTACTTAGACTCCCATACGAAATGGTCCTATGAGTAGTTTGCCCCTCTAAACCAGCACCCACGTGGAGTACCTCAAACCAGCTCTCCTTGTCTTTAAGCAACTTCTCCACCACTACTCATTGTATCAGTTCCCCTCTCCTTGTTTTGGTCTCATTGCCCACAACATCCCTGAACCAATATTCAGTGCATCCTCAACAAATAGGGAGATGCTGATCTTTCTCATTGAGTTCAAGGGATTATCAGCATGAACACAAGAACGCAGCAACTTCATCTCAAATCCTTGTCAGTGTAAGATGGTCTATGAAAGCAGCAAATGAGTCTTTAAAAAAAATTATCTAGGGCTAGGGATACAGCTGAGTGGATGAAGTGCTTGCTATGAAAGTATGAGGACTTGCATTTGGATCCCCAGTACGCAGATTTAAAAACAAAACAAAACAACAAACAAGCACACAAAAACCCAAATGTGTCAACACTGCCTTTACTCTTGAAGGACAGAGACAGGAGGATCCCAGGAGGGTCACTAGCCAGCCAATCTAATCAATTAGTGAACGTCTGGTTCAGTAAAAGATCCTGTCTCAAAAACCAAGGTGAAGGGTGGGTAAAGAAGACACCTAATGTTGAGCTCTGACCTCCACATGTCCATACACAGGTGCACAAACCCACACGCAGATAAATGTCTAGTTATAAGATCAACATATGCTTATTATATGAAGTGGAGCAAAACAAAAATAATAAAATATTCATATTCTCATAATTCAAAAATTAGCCCCCTTTAACACATTTCAAGCCTTGCCTTTCCCATGAACCCTTTTAAACTGTTCCCTCACACACACCACTCTAACTTCTGGGGTTTTGGGTAAGTTTTTCCTCAATATTGTAGCACCATCATTTGTTTGTGCTATTAAAATTTTTTATGGGCTGGGCATAGTGGGGATACACCTTTAATCTTAACACTTGAGAGGCAGAGACAGGTGGATCTCTTTGAGTACGGGCTTGGCCTTTTCTTCATAGTGAGTTCCAGGCCAGCTAGGGCTAAATAGTAAGACCTTGTCTCAAAAAATTTTTTTATTGTGAATATATTTCTTTGATTGCAATTTTAATTGAAGTCTTATATATTACTTGTATAGCTTTACAAGTCTTGATTTACATAGTTATAAGACACCATCAAGATCTGATGATGAGGAATACACCTTCTCTATGGCAAGTGCCCTCTGTCTTGCCCAGAAGGCAAGGGCCTTCTAACCTTATATAAATCAGATGGTTTTTAACTTCATAAAAAGGAAGTTTCAGATGCTGCCTTCCTCCTGCCTGGTATCGTTTGCTCTACATCACAACATTAGATGTTTTTTACAGAGCAGATAGGATCTCTTCTGTAATTTACTAACAAGGACTATGTTATATTAATTGTCGTTGTTGGTGTTCTTTTGTCCTACCCAGGACAAAGTCTCTAGTGCCCACAAGGCTACTTTCATCAGGGTGGCTGGAGAATCCTTCCAGTCCTTATAGAAATAAGAAGATTCTACTCACCATCTCTCAATGTCATACATTGCCACCTGTGTGCCTCATCCATGACGGTTGGGTTCAAATGACTCCTAGACACTTTACTTTTTGTCTCCAGCTCCTGTCACAAAAACAGGAATTTGGAGGTACTATGCTGTTTTCTCTTTTTTGTCTTTGTCTTCTAGACATTAGTAATGAAAGCCATAACCCTCTCCCCAGCCTATAACACTACTTGCATGCTCCATGAAAATATCACATCATGTAACACTCAGAGGCTGTCTGCTATATACTTTCAATAGATGGCATAAACAAACCACTTAGCTCACTTTGGAATTCTGCCCAATAGGTTTGGAGCTTTTATTTTAGAACAGTGTCAAGACATGAATCTAAGGCAATCTTGGGGATGATAACAGAATCTAAGTACCAGTTAAGGCTTACAACACACCACTGTCATCTTGAGTGGGTCAGATCACACCTGCAGCTCTGTGCATAACAGGATATTATGTAAGACTTTTGATCACTCTGGAGCTGACAATAATAACCTAAGGCCGAGGGCAAGAAGTGTTAAGTGCTTCATCATTATAGAGGAAACCACTAACACTTAGGGTTAGACACCTTTCTTGGGCTTAGTAAGAAGTGACAGAACCAACCCTGTGCTGTCTTATCAACTCTTACTAATGCCTGCATAAGAAGCCAATTAATGGGAGGACAAGATTAATGAGGCCAGGTGGGACTCTGAGAGAATCACATTAGAAATGGGTGCCTACAAAAGGGAAGGACAGAATTCCTTACACCATGGGCCTTCACAGAACAGCCAGTCAGCTGAATAGGGAAGCAAGGGATGGAATTTGAGGTATGTGTGTGTGTGTGGCGGGGGGTAGAGACAGGGTTCTTAAAAGGGAAGACAGATATCTCAATACTTCACGTTCACTAGGTTGCATGGTTCCCAAAAGAGGCAGCCAGGCTACAGTTGTACTCTGGAACTCAATATCAGAGACAGATAACATCATCACCCAAGAAATGGTGTATTGGAAGCCCAGTTGAAAGAGATTTTGCATATCTAATATGTGGTCATGGGTGCCTTTACTAGCTCTAGATCCTCTGAAGGAAAAACACATCAGTGTTCATCTTTCTGGGCATCTTTGCCAACACAGAAGGGTCTGTGGCAGGGACCAGCTATGCAAAGAAATGTGTGACTTTCTTCTGGCCATACCCACTTTCCTTTTGGCTAACCTATGCCCAGAAAGGAAAGGCACTAGAAGTCATCTTGAAGCAGACCACAAACAAAAGCTTAGGGTAGGGGTAGAGTTGGGACAGAAAAATCAGAACTCATGCCTGCTTTAGGAACAGCCTTTCAGAATCCAATCGACTCTAAGGATCGGTTGATCTTTATTCAAGAGAAAGAAAATAATTTCGTATTGTAAACAGATTACATTAGGAGGTTTAATAGTCATTGTCAATGAACCCAAACTCTACTCAGTTCCCCCACCTTTGCTCATGAATTGCTGAGCTGATGTGGCACAAATTGTATGCTGGGCCCAGCAGGAATAGAAGTCTTGATTTATATAGCTCCTTCCCACCCCCTCACACACATTCATCACATACCACGTCATACCAGAACCTCCTCAAAGTTACAGGTAGTGTGTGTGGTGGCTTGAATAAGAATGACTTCCCATGGGCTCATATATTTGAATGCTTGGTCGCCAGGGAGTGGCATTATTGGGAAGGATTAGGAAGTGTGACCTTGAAGAAGGAAGTGTGTCACTAGGGGTCTGAGGTTTCAGTGGCCTAAGACAGTAAGACAGGCCCAGTGTCTTACTTTTGCTGATGCCTGTGGAGCAGGATGTAGAACTCTATGCTAGTTCTTCAGCACTATACTTGCATGCCACCAAGTTCCCTGCCATGATGACAGTGAACTAAACCTCTGAAACTGTAAGCAAACCCCAAGTAATTAAATGCTTTCCTTTATAAGAGTTGCCATGATCATGTTGTCTTTTCACAACAACAGAACAGTGACTAAGACAATATGCCAAAGTTTTATAATAAACTCTAGCCTCCGTTGCTCACTCTCTAACCCTACGTCTGTTCTTGTCCCATCCCATTCCTGAGCTGTTGCAGAAGCACTCATAGCCCAGACTCTTTCTCCTATGAGGTGTGTCCAAAGATGCCTGGGTAGCCAACCTTGCTGGATAACCTAATTTGAGATAACTTCATTTGTCTGAGAAGTCTAAGTGAGTAAAAGCAGGACGGGTTTTACTGGAGTCCTTTCAGGCAGATGCAGGGGTCTCTGCACACACTTAGCCTCCTCAGCTGCTTTGACAGCACAGACCATTTTGGAACAGCGTCAAACCCACTATTACACCAAAACTGTCCAAACACCCATCCCTTGGTGTGGTGTGGCCTTTTCCCCGTTGTTCCCACTTTCCTCCAACTGTCCACTCAAAGGATCTCCCCAGAAGACTTTACAGCTCACTTCTGGAAACATGTAACAGACAACTCCTATTAGGCAGTTTCTTCTGTGGCAACAAAATCTTACTGTAGATGTTCATACCATGCTGCATGACCATCATTGAGCTAGTGCTCACCCTTTGGATTATCAAAAAAAAAAAAGTCCTATATACTCTTTTTTTCCCTGTGTTCATGTGAACATATCTGAGCCCTCTGCACCCCATACCACCCCTGGGATACAAGGCCTAAAGGACATGACAGTGACATCCATTTTTCACCTTACCCATCCAATCTATAGACCTTCAGGCTGCTTTTCATACTGCACCCCACAGTAGAAAAACATTTTTTTAAAAAATAAACTTTATCTCCCATTTGTATTAGACGGCACTATCCTTAAAAAATAACCCCCTAACCCAGTGGCTTATCATAGTGGACATGGACTTTTGCTCCTCTTCTCCATGGCTATGGTCCTGGTTTCATTTCTCTTATCTCCCTACTCACCGAGATGCGTGGCTTCAGCTTGCTGAAAAGAGGCTCACCCCAACCATGCTGAAGCTATACCTGGAAAATACAGATGCCCTGTATGGCTTGGAAGGCAGGCTGTAAGCAACCTCTCCATCAGGTGCCAGGTATGTGGTATTGCAAGATAGGACAGGGAAAGATGTGTGTAACTATGGACAAAACAGTCAACCACACAAACCCATGCTTGTTTTTTTTTTTTTTAATAACTCTAACAATAGAGATAGAACATTGATTTATTTCCCAAATCATAGGTTTTCTAATTTTTTTTTTACATCTTATCATCATTAAAATAAAACGATTGGGGATATCTGAAGATGGTACTCTCTTCCCCCACTTCTTCCAGAAACTTCTTCTCATCATGTGGTAGCAAAGTCAAACCACGGAGACTTCCAGCTCCCAGGTTGTCTGTTCCTTCGTTTGTTGCTTCTGTCGAATGAGGAACACATTATGCAATCCAGAAGAACATTCTTGCTTCGATCCAGGGGAGATACTTTTCTTATGAGGAGGACTTTGTCTAAGTACTCTCCTTTGTACATTATATTTTTAAAGCTTTGATTAGAAGCTGGCTTGATTTAGGGGTTCCAACTCACCCAAAGGACAATCTATCAACAATAGCACATCTAGGAAGAGTGATATAAAGGAATTTCGGGAAAAACGAGCTTGAGAGAACATTACTCTGCTGACATATCATTTGTGTAGCATATGCTGGGCTCCAGATGGCTTAGACGCTATATCACCATAGCCATGTAAGTCTACAGATCGCAAACTCAAGGTCCTGTCAATCCAGAGTTGTCTATGTCAGTTCTCAACCCAGAATTTTTTTCTATACCTAAAACAATATGTTCAAGCTCGGCAAGGTTAAACTCTTGCAGAGGGATTTCATCACTTTTAAAAGTTTATAGTCTTAGTTTTATTTTTCCCATTTTTGATTTTTTTCAATCTTTGAATTATAGGCACTGGGAGATAGTCTGTGACACAACTTCTTTGCACTCCATCTATAATCTTTTTTTTTTTTTTTTTTTTTTTGCTTTTTCTTTTCTAGGATTATCCTACCTGTTAATTAAGATTTGTTCCTAGGGTAGGAGTATAATTTCCAAACAAGGGCTCCTGGCCCTACTGTATCCATCCCATTCTTTGCCCACAAAAGCATAATCAATGCTTTTTTCTCTTCTGGGACTATGCAGAAGTTCATGTTTGGCTGTTTCATACACTCTTTCCTGAGGCTCACTGATGATTGAAGTGTGGCGGTTAAGAAATAAAGATCACGGGGAAAGAGGCAGGTGCAAAGGTAGCTCCTCAGTATGGAGGCGTCCGTTCTGCCTCTGATTGTACGTGGTTCTAAACGCATTCCTGCTATTGTCTAATATATTCCCTGCCTTTTTGCTGCAGCCTTCTAGGCATGACAGAGGAATTAGCATTTCTCTTCACTCTTGGACACTCGCTACCTCCAGTCTTTGCTCTTCCTAGAAAGATCAAACAGCAACCTTTATTATTTTTAGGCTAACCACTGACGATGCATATTTTATGAACAATTTTATAAATATCATGTACAGGGCTGTGGCTTCAGAAATATGTAATCAACGGAGTGTGATATTGAAAAGGGTTTCCAAGTTGTTATAGATAAAATAACAAAGCAAAACTGTACTATACAGGTATGTATGAAAGGACCATGAGGCTCAAATAAAAGTTCCCAACAAACTATTACAGTTCCCAGATTTTCCTCAACCTGATAAAAACCCTTCATAATTAAATACAGGTGGGAGATGGAGTTAATGACTAGGGCATTTCTTTCCAAACGAAAAAGGCCTCGGCTCACTTTCATCTTCATCTTCAAAGATACAGGATCAACAATGCTTAATCTTGTCCTCCTTCCTACTCAGTTCTGACACAAACCCTCCTTCCTGTTCATTCCATGTCTATTTTATAAGAAATAGAGGGAAACATAGTGACGATTGGCAAAGTAGTATTACCACAGGCAATGAGTCTCTTCCCCGAGACAGAGATGACTTCACTGAAAAGCTGAAGATTCTACCAACACTTATTCTAGAACATTTCCTAAACACGTATTATATATACAAGAAGTGATGTAGTTCCATCTTGGCATAATTCTAAGGTTTCTGGATACCTGTTTAAAGGTCTCTGTTCTTTAATATGTCTTTGAGAAATGGTTCTCAACCTTCCTAATGCTGTGACCCTTTAATACAGTCCCTCATGTTAAGGTGAGCCCCAACCGTAAAATTATTTTTATTGCTACTTCATGACTGTAATTTTGCTACTCTTATGAGTTGTAATGTAAATATCTGTTTTTTGATGATCTTAGGCCATCCCCATGACCCCACAAGGGATAAAGACCCAAAGGTGAGAATAACTGCCTTTGAAGCTTGTTGCCATGTACAAACCGCTTCTCATACCTATTAAAAAAAAAAAAAAAAAAAAAAAAAAAAAAAGCAGACTGACACTTGATTTACAACCCAACTGAGACTTCTTGCTCCCCAGTAGAAGGGGTGAATGTGGAGCTCACTCGATCGGCTGCCTCCCTATAGAAAACTGGGCACTGTTTGCAGAGACGTTTAGCAATGTGTTTTCTGAAGAATATGGAAATATATCTTCGGAACTTCTCCCCAACAAAGGCATAGATGACAGGGTTGATGCAGCAGTGCGTCATTCCCAGAGTCTCTGTTACCTGCATGGCCCGGTCTAAGTGATTGGTAGTCTCACAGTTACTCAGTCCCAAGAATTCCTGGAAGGTGTTCAGGAAGAGAACAATGTTGTATGGAGTCCAGAAGAGGAAGTAGACAATCATGATGGCAAAGATGAGCCTGACAGCCCTGTGCCTCTTCTTTTCGTTCCTACAGCGGAACAGGGTGTGGAGGATTCCCGAGTAGCAGATGACCATGACAAGCAGGGGCAGGACCAGGCTCAAGATATTCCTCATTATTGCATGGAAATTCTTCCATATTAATGGAAAATAAGGACCACAGGTGCGGTGATAATATTCTTCTTTGAATTTAGTAAATATGATTCCCGGGAGAGAGGCAAACGCAGCCACCACCCAAGTGACTCCACTTGTCATCACCCCAAAGGTGACTGTCCTGGCTTTTAAAGCAAACACAGCATGGACAATAGCCAAGTATCTATCAATGGTCAGGAGGATAATGAAGAAGATTCCACCAAAATAGCCAATGTGATAGAGCCCTGTGAATAATTTACACATTACATCCCCGAAGACCCACTCGTTTGCAGCATAGTGAGCCCAGACTGGGAGAGTGATCAGGAAGAGCAGGTCAGAGATGGCCAGGTTGAACAGGTAGATGTCAGTCATGCTCTTCAGCTTTTTGCAGCTTATCAGGATGAGAATGACCAACATGTTACCCACAAAACCAAAGATGAACACCAGGGAGTAGAGTGGGGGCAGGATCCAGGCACCGATTTGCTTCACATTGTATTTATAACAAGGCTCACCATTATCATAATCATAAGGTGTGGTGGTGTCTTCATCAAACTCTTGGATATTTCTTGTAAACAGAGAATGAGATGTTGATAGTATTCCATTGATGAACTGAGGTAACATATCACCGTCTTCCATTTCCCTTCTTTCTGTTGTCAGAGAACAAAATGATCATCTGTAGCACAAATGTCAAATTCCATAACCTAAATAGCCTTGCCCTACTCAAGCAGCATCCTAGTCTTTAGTTTCTCCTTTATAGTCGTCTCCTTGACATCAAATATATGTCACTTTCCTTTTATTCCTCATAGCGGACCCACCTTGTCAACTCAGCAACCCTTTCCTTCAACATCCTTTGATATTCCCTTGTGAGTATGTTTTTCAACATAAGGCTGCAAATGGCGCGTGTCTGCATTCACTATATCCTCTGCATGTGGTGAATAGGGGTATAAGTCATTACTGAATGATAAGATGTAATTAGAGTTTGCTAGGAGGTTTCTATGGAGCTTCTTTCCCAACAAAAGAGACAAGACACAGAAGAAACACTTGGTCCCTTCTCTTATTTTAACTTGTCTAGCATAAGCCTGGTGCTTAGGACTATAAGCAAAAGACCTAAGCATTGTGTAGAAGTCACAAAGGGGGCTCACTTCTGACTTTTTATTTGAGAAAGAAAATAACCTATTGCAAATGGCATCATTTATCCCTTGCATCCAAAAGTATTCCAATCATTCTAATAATCTTCTCAACTCCTGCTTCCTCCCACACTTCTTTTTTGACAAGGTTGCAATGACAACCCAATATTCAAATGCTTTAACTTTGTTCCAAATTCATTCTCATTGAGCACTAATTTCCCTATTCAAAACCCTTTTTAAGGGGCTGGAGAGATGGCTAGGCAGTCAAGGTATTTACTGCTCCTGCAGAGAACCCAAGTTGGTTCCCTGCACCCACAACAGGGAGCTCATAAAAACCTGTCATTCCAGTTCTGGGGGATTTGTCACCTTCTGACCTCACTGAGCATCTGTACACACTTAATTCACATTAACTGAAGTAGGCACACACACTGACACAAAATAAATAAGCAAATAAACATTTTTAAATTAATTTTTAGATTCTGGGAGGACATTCCTACTTCACTGCTAACTAGAATTTTTTGTGACATTTCATTGCCCACTCTATAAAAGCTCTCATGCACTATACTTGACTTTTGCCCCTTTATACCTTTTGTCTCTTTATTCTTGCTCCAAAATCCTTCTAATTCAGATTGGCTGAATTATGTCAGCTAACCTCAGGATTTTGATTCTCTAAAATGCTTATATTTTCCAAGGCTCTGTGTTCAAGTCCCACCTTCTCCAAAACATGTTTAATTTTTCACTATTTGATAGTATCTCTTCAGGAATTTGTCCACATAGCCAATATTTATTTAGTGTCTGCTATGACTTATACATAAGGACACACACACATACACTGCTATACATGTTTGGAGGTCAGAGGTCAATCTGTTCTTTCCTTCCTGTATGAGCTACAAGGATTTAAACTCAGGTTATTAGATACTTTGACACAGGAACTATCTTGCTGACCAAACTGTGAGTTCTTTAGCTTAGTTATTGCCATCTATTACATTGTAAGAAGCAAACTCTAGTATTATTCCAAATCATTCCTCTTCAGAAAATTAAGGGTTGTCATTCAGAGCCAAATAGAGTAGATGCCTAGATAGATGACTCAGCAATTAAGAGTACCTACTGTTGTTCTTGCAGATGATTTAAGTTCAGTTCCTAGTATGAACGATGGATCCAGTGCTCTCCTCTGGTCATTGCAAGTAGCTGAGTTCACGTGGTACTCACTAATACAGACACCCACATATTAAAAAAAAAAAAAAAAAAAAAAAAAAAAAGCTCAAAAAGTTAAAGAAAAATCATGACTCTAACATAAAAGCAGTGTAATTCAAAGTCAAGTGTCTGTTTTCCTGTACAGAAACTAAGTTGTTGTGAACCAGTGATGAGGACTTGACACAGCATGTTCTACAGATAGATGCTCTGTGTTAGTATTGTATCTTATGAATTCCACCCCTACATACTTGTCAAATTCATCCTTTCTGCCCTCGATGAGCTGCTGGTTTCTTGTCTCATCCACTACTCACTTCATGTTGACCTTTTCTTTGTGTATGTGTAGCTCATCCCTCTCATCCTGTCTGCTCTAACAGGCACTCCTCAGCCTGAAAGCCCCAGTAACCACATGATTTGGATGTGGTGGGACCTTGCGGTGGTTGATCTGCTCACTAGGACAATTTTCTCCTCAGCTTCATCCCCAGCCATTTTCCACGTTCCCAGTCCTGTGCACAGCTACAACCATCTTCTCTCCAGTTCCTTCATGCCTTGATGATTTACTATATGCATGTCCCTTGGTCTAAAATGGCTCCTATTCATCTTACCTCCTACTCAAATTCCCCTTTTCTTGTGAAGCCTAATCTGCACCTTCTGACAAACCATTCTGCTCTTGTGAAACTTTAGTAAGCAATTATCGTGCTATCTTTTGCATATTATGCACCCCCTGAGGTTAAGGGGTGGCAGTGTTTTTAAACTCCAATTCTTATAATTCCGTTTGGCTAAAAGTGTTACCAGCAAATGCTCACTGAATGAGTGAACAAAAATCTAGAATAATTGTAAAATTATAAGATGTAGCATCATTAGATCTTGATTGTTAAGAATTATCTTTTCCTGATGTAGACTATAAGTTTGTTTTTATCCACCTATGTAGCACAGCATTTTTACATCTCTCCAGTGATAGCCACACTTTACAAGCTTGCATTTCACATCACTGAGCCATATCACCAGACTGAAAACACACAAACAAAACAAACCTAAGTGAGATTTCTGATGAAAGTCAAGAAGAAAGTGCAAGTGCCTGAATAATTACACAGCGCTAAGACCTGGTCTGTTCCAGAGGTTCCAGCTGTTATGGAAAATACTAGGCAATTCATCTAACCCTATGGCACACACAGCCAGCATCTAGTTACTACTATATCAAGCAGCCTACAGAGTGACTGAAAGGTACTACCTGTGTATCACTTTGGGTATCAAAACCTAGCACCCTTTCAGAAAAGACAGAAAGAAAGAGATAGAAAGAGAGGGAGGGAGAGGGAGGAGAGAGGGGAGAGGGGAAGAGAGGAGAGAGGGGGAAGATAGAGAAGGAGAGTTTTCTTTTCAGCCTGTGTGGCCCTCATGAGGAGAGACCAGAAGGCATATTTAAAAGGAATATTTTGGATCTGGACTTGGACCATCCCATGTATAGACTAGAGGTAAAAAATTTCATGGTAAAAGTTCTAGCAGTTTAAGCCCTCTGCATGCTAAGAGGGGCAAAGTAACCCCGTGGGTGCCTAGGGGAGACCAGTCCTCCCCTTTATCACCTGATCCCGAAAGGATAGTCCCACCCAGTAACACCCTCATTTCTTTACCGTCACTAGGGTCTTTCTAACATTTCTTAGTGAATACTACACCTCTCCTCTACCTGAATCTTGATCATTGCCTCCACATGCACAGGCTGTGCAGCCTCTCAGACTACCCTGCACCTCAAGCTTGGAGATGCTTGAGCTTAACTTTCATAAAGTCATGGAAAAATCACTACTCACCAGGGATGGCTTCTTCTTGGTAGCACTAGTATTTCAGGCTTCTCAGAAACAAAAACCTCAGATCTGGAGGTAGAAACTTGGTGTGCAGAAGTAGGAAATAAAGTTTCCTGCAGAAAGAGAAGGCGGAGATAGAAAGGCAAGTGATGGCAAAGATTTGAACAACAAAAAAAAAAGTCAAAGATTCACAGTTCTTCTTTTCCAGCCAGGACCATTGTATACTGGGCTGAGGTCTCCACAGGATTAATTTTGAAATCTTGCTTATGCAATTTTGAGTGTGAGTCAGCCTCTCCCCCAGCATCAGTATATTTCAACTCTGGGCTTCTTTGTCTTAAAGGTCTTTCATACCTCTTCCATTCTTTATTCTATTCTCTGTGTTAATTGGCGTGACCCAAGTGCAGTAGAACCCATTACTATCAGACAATAAGTGTGCTAATGAGGTCATTGGTCATAATGGAGGAAATGCAATGAGGTTTCACTGAGATTTGTGTGTTTCAGAGAATTGTGAATTGGAATCTCGTTAGAAACATTACTTAAATAAAGCTTTCTAATGAAGGAGAATGCCTAGCAACCTTTTGTGTTAAGGATCTTCTTAGCAGGAGGATCTCTGTTCTTATTATCATCGTAGGTCACAGAAAGAGGCTTCACTTAAAATCTACATCATGAGCACTTACTTAGGAATGTCACTAACGTTTTGCAAACCTGGACAGTGTGATCTGAACTGGTCCCTGGAATTCTGCAGGATTAACAGACCTGGCAGTCAGTATCTCCTCTAAATCAGTCAAACTTGAATCATAAGAGCTCAGGGGCCTTGGATGGGTAAATGGATACAAAACAGCTCACGGATCATCTGGTATACGGTAGATGTTCAGCAAGTAACAGGCAAAAGTACCAAAGCCTTATTGAGGGATGCCACCACTGTAAGAGATGACAGCAACGGAAAACTTAGTGCAGACCAAGAGTCTTCTCCAGATTTCAGGAAGTTGGCAATCATGTGTACAAGAATTAGGTTTGGTTAAGCAAAAAAGGTCTCTAGTTTGTGTGTGTGTGTGTGTGTGTGTGTGTTTTTGAAAACTTTCTTTTATTGTTCTAGAACACACCCATTTCTATAATCAAGACCCCTGGTTAGGACCATTTTTCACTTCCATCTTCATACTACGTAGGTCACTGATTCTAGCCATGGCATTTAGAAAACAAAGAGAAACACAGTGTTGGGTAGATAAAAAAATGTTCTGACTCTAGAGGACAGAAAGATGAGTAGGATCAGAAGAACCAATACCCGAAGACTAGCTGAAATGGAAGCTACCACTCCGGTGTTTGGCAGGAAGCTGTTTATCGCAGAACATGACTCTGCCATATTTGTTGGTGTATTGGTTGTTTTTGTTGTTGTTGCTGTTTTTTGAGACAGGGTTTCTCTGTGTGGCTTTGGAGCGTGTCCTGGAACTATCTCTGTAGACCAGGCTGGATTCAAACTCACAGAGATCTGCCTGCCTCTGCCTCCCAAGTGCTGGGATTAAAGGCGTGCACCACCCAACGCCTGGCATTTGTTGGCATATTCAGATTCAGATTCATAACAGCAGATTCAGAAAGCTCTCTGCCATCCCTCTATTTGTCTAATAGCAGAGCACACCATTTTTAAAGGCAAAAGATATCCTCCTAACCTAGAGAGAAATGACTAACCACTGAGGACAACTTAAGGTCTTTATCAACCTGGAAATTATATCAGAAGAATCCACACTCACAAACTTTATTAAGTAGTCTTTTGCTGCCATTTTTCAATTGCCCCACTAGTTTCTACCCACAGAGATACAAAATCCTTTTTTTTCCTTGTTTTAAACTTCTTTAAACTTTTACTATACATTGTTGAAAATTCTACATATGTTGGAATTCAAAGCTACATGTTTGAGAAGTTCTCATTCCCCCCAAATATTAAATATATTTCTTTTTACCCTTGTTAATTTGTCGTTTGACACACAAGTATATTCTTACTAAGAAATTTCCAAGGATGGTGACAGAATTTTGTTTTCCTCCTTAGAACTTGAAGGGGCAAAAAAAACAAAAAAACCACTACCTGAGCTCTGACATTCAGAGATAAAAATTGGTTGCTAGAATTTGGCAGAGCAGGACGGAAGAAAGATCTTAACTGCCTACTCCCGCTTTCCAACCCACTTTCTGCCTCCCAGTGAGTAGGATCATACAAGGTAAGAGAGAAGTGGGAAGGGAAGGTGTCCATTGGAAGCTGAGTGCATCTTGGAGGAACCACAAAACAGTTCTTCTCACCACAAGCTGCACAGCTCTGGCGTGCACACTAGCTAAGCAGGATCCCAGGAAGGCATGGGCTGCTGTGCTTTAGGTTGCCTGGAGAAGGATGGTGATCATCTCAACTCTTCTGCAAACCAATAAAGTGAAAATCATTTATGCTCCCCAATACTGTATAAAGACCGACACTGGCTATGGGATGCTTAAAATCATGTTGATTGTCACTCTGAAGGGTATGCTCTCTCAAGTGACTTAAAATGATTCATTTGAACCCCATTAGGGGTTAAAGCTGAAAGTTAAGTAGATATCAAAACCTAGCTCTCTGCCACTTATGTGTGATAAGACACAACCAAATGAAACAACATGTCCAGAGAAGTGATGGCAGAACAAGAGAGGTTTATTAATAGTCTGAAGGCACGTTGATGGTGTCCTTTGGAACTTCCTTACTCTCCTATGGTGGGTTTGTTCAGTTGCTACATTAAAAGTACAAGCACTCTTTCCTCTTCTCATCATAGATGCTTTGGGTTTATTGTGGTTTCTATGGTTTATGTGCTTCCTGTGTCCTACTAAAATAAACTAGTGAGTTCTAGGATTTTACATCTTCGGTTTAGCCACACATGATCTGAACTAATACAATACACACAGATCAAGCAGTCATTATATTGACATTTGCTTTGGTATTACCTTCGGAACAAAATACATGTGCTTTCCACTGCTTCTGTCCCAAATGGTAAAGTAAGACGACAAGGCATAGAAAGTCAAAACAAGAAAGGCTAGCAACATCTAATTCTTGTAAAGTACACATCAAGGATTAGAGATCGGGCATGAATATCTCTCCTCTTTTCGAAGACCATGGGAAGTGTCCAGACAAATAAAGAATAGACAAAAAAAAAAAATCAAAAACAGAAATAAGGGGTTGGGAAGATTGCTCAGCGGGTAAGGGCATGTGCTGAGTGAATGTAAGGCTCTGGAGTCAAATTTCCAGCCAACAAGCTAGTCATAGTCATGCAACCGTGGCACAGTGGGCATGGTGACGGAAGGATTGCTAAGGCTTGCTGGCTGTCGCCCTAGTTCCAGGTTCAGTGATAGACCCTGTTTCAAGGGGAAAATGTAGATGGGGGACACCTTATACACATCAGAAAAAATAAAAGACCATCCCCATAGTAATTAAATTTTAATAAACTTATAATATAAAGATAGGAGATTGGATGTTTCTTTTCTTCCATTCAAATAAACATTGAGAAGAAAGACATCAAGTCAGAAATTTTACTATTTACTTGCAGATGGAAATCCAAATCAAGTTACTTAAGAGGACTTTGTGCAGACCAGTGTTAAGGAAATGATCTCCTGTTCTTCTGCAGGTGGCATGCTCTGTGCTAGATCTGGAGCTCAGTATAGATGTCTTAGTGGTAGCCTGCCATTAGGAAAAAGACTTGGTTGTGATAAGAAACAGCACACTATTTGGTGGACATTTACCACTGATTCAGACACGGCAACAGCTGGTTGGGAGGGAAAGGATGGCATTCATATACCATTCCGTCTTTCCGTAAGTCCTGATGAATAAAAGCAGCATGAAAGTGAATACCATCAGGGTCTGGTTTTATGCCCAAAACTGTAGCTTATGACACGCCCTGGGGACAGCCATGATGCTATCTATAGCAAGCCACAAAATCCAGAATGCATTCTTTGTGGGTACAGTTGCATGAGAAAAATAAAAGCCCTCAGATCTGGATGTGGCAGAGATTCTGATTAGTAGACATTGCTGGTTTCATTCTAGGTGGGCAACAGGTAATGGAAATAATGAGATGGACCCCAACTAACCACAGCTAGTTGAAGTTCTACCCGAATAATATTGGTTTTGCAAGAAACATAAACATGTGGTAGGGAGAGGGGCAAGAATATGGACCACAGCTCGTTTGTAGTGCAGCTTGGGCATGTATCATTATTTGAGAAGCAATATATTTTGGAAACAAAAGTTTATCTTAAAACATCGACAAAATGACAACCCTTTATCTATATCTTTAAGAGAAGGGAGAAGATGCAGATAAGTAAAGCCAAATGAAGGTGGAGTGAACTTTAAGAATGAAAATACAGTGGTGACGCATGCCTTTAATCTCAGCAGGAGAGTTAGAGGCAGGCAGGTCTCCGAGTTCAAGGCCAGCCTGGGTCCAGGACAGCCAGAACTGCTACACAAACAACCTGGTCTCAAAAGAGAAAGGAAGAAAGAAAGAAAGAGACAGATAGGAAGGAAGGAAGGAAAGAAGAGAGAAAGACAGAGAGAGAGGGAGAGAGAAAGAAACAGACAGGAAGGGAGAGAGAGAGAGAGAGAGAGAGAGAGAGAGAGAGAGAGAGAGAAACAACAGAAGGAAGAAGAGAAAGGTAGTAAATCAGAAGGATATAAAATACATTCAAATGATGTTTGTATTTTGGACTACTTCCATCTGCCCCATTTCCTCTCAGTTTATAGGTTTTATTTTGACAGTATTGTTTAGATGGTATAATAGCTTGTGTGTGTGTGTGTGTGCACGCGTGCACTCGCATGTGCGTGTGCATGCATACATACTTCAGTACTTTCTTTTCTACTAAGCAATCTAAAGTTTTTCCTATGTTATAAATTGTTCACAAACATAATTTTTGTGGCATGTTTTGGCCATTAACCTCCAAAGGTTGTGGCAGACAGACACAAAAACATCTCTGACTTCTTCGGATCTTGCTTCATTGTCAAGAAAATGGGGAATTTTATTACTCATAGAATGTTACCGCCTGTTCTCACTTTACTACCCAAGACTTCTGGAAATGTGGCAGTACCTTAGAGCTTTTTATAAAAACTTCCTATCTTTTTTTTTTTTTTTTTTTTTTCTGGAGTCAGCAACTTGATCAGTATCTATTAGCTGATTTTAAAGCCTGGATGAACGCCAACATGGTGTTCCAGCGCTTCGTGGAGGTTGGCTGGGTGGCCTAGGTCTGCTCTGGGCCTCATGCTGGGAAGCTGGTCGCGATTGTCGATGTGATCCATCAGAAC